CCAACATGACCATTCACAATACAACTGAAAAGACGCCTATATAATCTCTCTAACTCTCTAACATGAACATATCGACATTGGAAAAAAAAAAAAAAAATACAAAAACGTGTCTTACCTTTAGGCTAACTGAAGGCGGCCATGGTGCTCAACCCCTGATGCTGTCTTTATCCATTTGTGCATTTTCGGCTCAAGTCCCCGTCAAAGCCAGAGGAGCTACACCAGCTAGGCTATTTTGCGGCTTAGCAGTTGAGGCCTTCGGTCTGAACAAATAGTCCTTTTGCGTGGAAAACGAATTTTCGAACATTAACATGGAGGTCTCATTTGTCAGAGACAGTTTGAACGCTGTCATGATACTAAGTGTTCCTCTAAAAAAACGCTCCTGTACGTTAAAAATGAATTTGAATAAGGTTATCGCAGCCTTAAATGACTGTGAGGTACATTATCATTGACCTAACTTTTATTTTGATGTGGCTTGGAACACTTTATTTCAATAACACATAAGCAAAAAGTTCGGATATCATTCCACTGGAAAGCAGTACATACAACACCAACAGCTAGCTTAAAATTATTTACGTACGCCGCCATCTGCTACGTTGGGCATGTCTGCGTGTGGTGCCGTGCGTTGATTGGTTGTAAAAAAAGTCACGTGCATGCACATAAACAGTTCACAGCAATAGAATCCGCGAACATGTGAGAATTATTTAAATTGGCCATTGAAAGAAAATGTCAAATAGACGGATAATTTGTGAGAATTATTTAAATTGGCCATTGAGAGAAAAGGTCAAATAGACGGATAATCGTACAAAACGATATGACTGGTTTAATTAAATAAAACTTATTTGGTCCACTCATTTCCGGGAAAATCAATGTCCCTGATTCATTTGCGACCTCTACTGGCAACGGATGAGTTTTTTTTTTTTTTTCAACGGGGCGTGCCCATTTAAACCTTAAGATAACGCCTACACCTGGCAGTGGCATTGGTGAAAGTTCTGACCAATCACAGCGTACCACCGGGAACCAAGCAATGTACATCCTCACGCCCACCCTTTCCCTCTCTCTGCCTGTATCTGCATTATATTCCCATTTTCCGTATAATCTTTATTAATTTCTTTCACCCCTACCCCATGACGCCAACGCAGACTATACACTACCCAGGAATACGGTAAATATGTTTATTTAACCTAAGGCTCAACTTATGCAAACAAACAAACAACTAAAACTTGGGTAATAAAAACGATGTAGCTGCAGTTGTAAAATATAAACATAAATTAGGGAGACGTCGGGTTAATAAAAAAAACGAGCTGGAATACTGTTAATTAATTCCGGCACTTGCAAATAGCTTTGGTTTTATAATTGATTTGTTTACGTTTTATGTTTGAGAAATTGTCTAAAATAAATTTTGCGTTTAAATAGGGTTTCCAAACCAAATAGTATTTCACTTTTTCTAATAAAGTACTTTTCAAATAAAAGTGTCCAATACACTACTACTGACTTTTTTAAAATTCTCTGAACAATGCAATTCATCATATTACTTTCTGCAATTAATGTAAATTTGAAATAACTTGTATTACGATATAATAAAAACAAAGGATTGCAAAGCCAGATGTTATCCACCGCCGTATTTATATATACAGCACACGTCCTGCGGCTGTGGTAATTATTTTATAAATTAATTGCTGCTGTTGCCCACGTCGTGGGGCGCTATAAATCCCTGCAGGAACAAGTGCAGCCCCCCTCCTTCGGCCACAGTGGTCGCTGTTCGTACTGAGGCTACAGTAGTATCAGCAGCAGCAGCAGTAGCTCTGACTTCGGCTCTTTCCACTCCCTCCGTGATTGGTCAGAGCGAGTCACGTTGTCCGTGGCGCTGCTGTCAGTCTGATGCTGCACCATTGTTCCCCGAGCAGCCGGGAGGGTTGCCTATATAACAGCACTGCTGTGCGCCTCCACTGAGCCGGTGAGTCCAGAGAACTGAACGGGAACCCGGTACCGGTTTGTAGCTTGCTGGAGGGTTTCTGCAGAGGAAGACTGTGCCATGGTTTAGAGCAGATTTGATCAGGTCCATTTATACAGGGGCGTCATTGACGGGCTGGATACTGATGATTGGATTCAAATGAATTGTGAGTATGAAACACAGTATTTATGTGTGTTTGTTTTACTGCAATGTGCACTGGGCAAATATCACAGAACTGTTACGTCTGTTTGTCATGTTTCTTCATTGGTGCACAACATACTTGGAATTATATATATATGTATATGTATTTGCCTGTTGTCTTGGCATAAGATGCTGGGACACATCCCTGAAAGGTCCATTGTCAAACTAATCTGGGCATCATCATCATCATCATCACCACCACCATCATCATCATCACTAGCATCAGCATCCTCAGCGTCATTATCGTATCACACAGACAGTCATGTAAACTAACAAAAGAGCAAGTTTCCCTTTGTTTCAGCTCCACCTCCACTTTTTTTTGTTGCCCAGCTTTGTGCTGCTTGGTGACTACACTAAATTATACCTATGTGCAACATGTACACTGGAGATATTGTTTGTGTTTTTATTAAACAGACCACATTTTTCATACAGGCTGCTGTATATATCATAAAAAAAAGAAAGAAACAGTTGACATGTGTAGGGCCAAACTGGCTGAGAGCCTATCATGCAGACCTCTGGGAGAAGAAGAGAAAGAAGGGGGGAGAGAGAGAGGGAGAGAGAGAGAGAGAGAGTGTGTGTAGTTCCCCTGCAGAGCTTCCTGCAGAAGCCCCCTCCCCTGCCCTCTCCCCAACCCCTCGCCCCCCTTTTCACCCACCACCATGTTATACAAGGCTCACAAAAGAGATCAGTATAAGGTAGCTCTGTCAATCATTTGTATCGAGTCAGTGCGGGAATTGCAAACTTTCCGTGACAAACAATTTCGTGTGGCTCCCGTTGTGCTAAGGTGAAGCACGGTGCCACATAATTATGTCATGTGCTATCTTTTATTGCACTTTCACAAGAGTCAGTAACAAATTAGAGTTTCCTCGTGTTCCCCCCTCCTCCAGGGACGCTGTAGCTGCCGTGCCTCCAGTTTATGTGATGTTTGTTCCAGTAAATAAATATAAATAAGTCTCATGTATATTTCTCTCCATCCACAGAAGAGTCACAGGTCCCCGCAGTGTAACATATCTAAAGGTAAGGCCACTTTTATTCTGCCGTCTGGACCATAAAGCTGACAGGTCTGACAACACATTAGCATAGTGAAATAATGCCTTTGGAAATGAATGGTGTGCACAAAGCTGACACAACTGTTGCTACAGTGCCACAAAAGGGCCTCGGATAATGAGATAGGATGTGATGTTGATGCAGGGAACAGTGTTAAGTCAATGCAGACAGCTGCTTTATTCTACACTAGATTATACCCGAGTGATGCCACTAATGTCACAATGATAAAGAAGATTTACTCTTTCTCTGGAGTGTGTATATAATTCATAACTATTTCAGTCTGCAAATCAACCAAGAGTGCTGCAGAATAGTCAGGAACTCACAAGCCTCAGACCCATTCACAGGTGAATAAAGATGCCTCATTCACTTACATAAATGTACTTGAGATATTTATACCTGAACTAGTGTTTTTACACACACACACACACACACATCCCTCCGTCATTAGCCTCCTCTGGCTCCTTTATTGTTCCTCCTCCAGCCTCTCTTGTCAGGAAAAAAAAAAAGGCAGCAGCAACAGTCCTGCTGTGCACCAGCATTCACTCAATCATGTGAACACGCACGCACAATCACACGGCCATTTCCATCTTTGTGATTGAGATCTGAAAGGTGAGGTGGGGGTGGGCGACGTGCACGTCTGTGTTAGGGTAGCAGGGGCTCTCCTGACTGTGACTGTGTGTTTCTCCTCCTTAATCCATCTGTTCCCCGAATGTATCAGCGACCATGTAGTCCTGAGAGGAGCAGGATTTAATTAGTGCACGTGGCACGGAGCTAAAGGACACAGAAACATTAACTGGATGTATTTACTTGTGAAAAGCTGCATGGTTAAGCTGCCTTTGACTGAGGGAGTCTGTCATGCTGCTGTTACATACTGAAGCACAGATGGCTGTGTCTTGATATCAGTGAACGTGGCCCATTTAGGATTCACAGAAAAGGTGTCAGGGCTTAACAGCACTGAGGGTTGTTCATCTCTGAGAAGGACCAGGACCAGGACCAGGACCAGGACTGGACTGGACTGGACTGGAGAACAGTCTGCTTTAAAGGTTCACATGGAGCCTAATCAATTTAGTCCTTTTACTTGTTAATCTGTGGCTTGACCTATAGCACTGGTTCCCAAAGCGGGTGGCGGGGTCCCTTTGAGGGGCTTGGAGTTATTATAGCGAGAGGGGGAGGAAGGTGAGGCAGGGGAGTTGCAGAAGCTCAAATTAATTAAAATTTTAAATGTTTCTATTTATGCCACAGTGGGAAAAGAAAACATTGATTTGTAATTTTCTCTTTTTTTTCAGTAAGAATATCAGTTATTTTATGTGTATCAGTGTAAAGTTCTGAATCAATAGCTCTGTATCGCCTGGGGAGGAGGGGGAGGAGGTATTAAAGCTTTAGTAGCCAAGAATCTACTGAATATACTCCTACTACTACTACTATTATTACTACTACTATTCATTATAATAATTGATTGAATTGAAAAATTTAGATTTTCACCCCAGAATGAGAAAATTCACAGTTGAATTAAAAAATATTATTATCAACAACAACAACAACAATAATAATAATAATAATATATTAAAAAATTCATAAGATAATTTGATAATTGAAATGCATTGATTCAAAAATACTGTATAAATATTGTCTTTGTACAGTATAATTGTTTTTTAATTTTATAAATATTTGCAGATACAGTAATAATGAAATTCAATAATAAGGAACACAAAAGCTTCTCATTTTTGTTTGAATATCTTAAATCATAAAAAATACGAGCCTCAAAATATAACCAATATAACGCTGCCTTTGTCTGGATACAAACCACCTTCATGTCAACAGCAGCTTTCCACATAAACCTTAATGACCCAAAGTTTTAAAATCAATTCATTTTCCGTATTTTTTCTGTCTCCAAACACAACACACTGTAGAATTCTCTGTGGTGAGTCACCTCTCAGTGCCGCTCATATCAGACCTGTGTTCCTGGGCAACTCTGTGTGTTCCAGCAAGGTTCATGTTTTCAATTTGGAAGCTTTTGATGTGACTCTTTTTGTGTCTTTGGCTCCTTCCTGGCGGAGATTTGAGCTTTCACAGTTCAGGATTGTGCTCTCCTGAGATGTTGCCATGACACCTATTTGGAATCCTTTGTCTGTTGCCAACTAATTAAGTGTTTAAAAAAAAAAAGAAGGAATATTTTCAATGTCGCTGAGTTGTGTTTTGTCAGAGCGAGGACTTTGTTTCCTGCTCCTGTGGAAATGGATTAATCGTTTAGCTCAGCTTAGCTACACATTGTACTAGTAAAATAATCATAAAATCAAATTACAACAAAGGAAACAGGCTGTTAGTTAAAAAAGGATGTCTCTAAAAATGCAACGTAAAAAAGATTTGAAGGAGTAAATGTTTTTAAAACTATTTGATGAACACTCTTACAGGGATGTATATTTAAACTGTAAGTTTCTTATAAATCTGTTTATTTTTTTAGAGGTGAAATTTAGGTCAGATCTTCTCAAAAGTTTTTTACTCAGTAAATCTTTAGACTCAGTAAACTGTTTTTACAGTATTAAATAAGACTTTTCTCAAATGCCCCAATGTTTTTTTAGCAGTTTTAACCAGAGGTCTAGATAAATAAGTATTTTTATTCATAAATATTTTTGTTCACACAGAACAAAGAATTAAAAAATTTGAATATTTTTGTTCACACAGAACAAAGAAATGTATGAATTAAAACATTCATGATTCTCTCAAATACACCATTTGGAAATAACAATGCAGTATTTAAAAATATGTATATTGTGTTTTTAATTCAGGGCTGGAGAGGCTAATGAGTGGATTAAAAGCAAATTAAAGGAGGGCATAATTAAATTTACAGTGAACAGGTCTTGGCAGGAAGTACAGTAGCTCACCATTGGAAGTGGTGCCGTGCTCCATTATTGAGGAAATACCTCCAAGGCCAGGGAGCTGGAGGCTGCTTTACAAAACTCAAAGGTGCCAAAATAAAAGCACAGAGATGGAAAGACACTGTTGGAAGTGGAAAGAATTCATTTACAAAAGATTTCATCAGTCATTTAGTCTCCTTCAACAAACCAAAGAAAAGAATGGGAATGTTGTTAATCGGCTGTGATGCTGCCATCTGCTTGTGTTTTCTCATTTCTCTTTGTTTGTCAAAGAGCTGGGTTGAATGATTTTTTTTTTAGGCCACAATGTAAACTGTACAGATATGAAACTACCCAGCAGTTGATTTTCTGTAGTAATTATAACAAGAACATAAAATTACATTAACCAATACAAAAGCATTATCAAATTAACACATTTCCTTCATTGTGAGGAATTAGAAATTATACTATTTCTAATTTATTCAATTCATTTGCAAAATTACGCTTCCGACAACTCCAAACATAATTGTATTTTCTTTAGTCAGAAGCTTAGTGATTATTCAATCAAATGTACTTTTTTTGAACGACAGTGTTTCACTCCATATTGCTATCTCACGCAGAGCTGGCCTACTTTATGAATTTTCCCAGATAACACTGCAGATGCTTTGCATATAAAAAAAAAATCATTCACAATCTCAACATGATCCTGGCTATATATAAATGATAAGGCTTGTCTGCAGAATGTGAACCCTGCATCCCACAGCTTTCCCAGTCTGTGGGAGAGATGAAAGCGTCCCTGTCTCTATGAAATGTTTTGGCAGCTCTGTTTCTGCCAGCAAACTGGCTTTTTTCGAACTTTCAGGTGGCATGGGAAAATACAGTCATAAATAAAATATGCGGCGATGAATAATTTAAGCGAGCGTTGTGATTGACATGAGGGCGAGAGCACCTGATTATGCCTCCGCTCTGTGTGACTGGAATTACAGCAAATCAAAATATGAGACCGAACGACATCCTGTTACTTTGGCGTAAAGTTTTGATCAGGGCTTGTAACGGTGTAGACGACTGAGACGTGAAATTACATGTGCTGTGATCGATTGCACGGGAATTTGAGCACGTTACTGCGTATCACTGGAGCAATATATAAACACAGTATATAAGTGGGCTGTCAAACCAATGGAAGTTTCAATCCGATAGATCACAAGATAGCTGTGGATTAATGATGAGTAATCAGAATTCATTGTGATTGTAATTAATCGTGATTTAGCACAATTAATTAGCATAAAAATGTTCTTTACTATTTTGTTATTTTAGGGTCTGTCAAACAATACTGAATCTGATTAATCACAACATCATTAAAAGTTGATTAATCACGAGTAATCATGACTAATTGACTAATGACTGATCGACTCATAAGTTAACTGTTAATTGCTAATACATACATATACAGTATGAATATATGCTAATATGCAGTATGAATATATATATATAATGATAAAAATATGTTAATATATGTACTGTGTATATATGTGTAATGTATGTGTGCATGTACCGCAAAGAGACATCACGGTTGTCCACAACAACTTCGTACCTGAGCCGTAATCTCATCTGAGTCAATGGGCCCAGAACACGGCACATTAGTCGCCAGTCATCTACAACTCTAATGCTTTTAGAGGATGTTACAATGAAGTGGGCGCAGCTCGGAGTGAGTGTAGTCGTGGAGCAGAGCCTCTACCATCCATGCACCCATGTGGTTAATGAGGAGCCGTGCTTCCTCTATTGTTCTATAAGGAGGAAGAACAGAACAGATCAATGATTCCCAGCACTCAGCTGCAGGATGGAGGCCCAGTAGGCATCACCAGGCTGCGGCTCCTCCGTGTGCTGAGTGCTGAGCAGCGGGCTCCACTCCCTCCCCCCTTCCTCCCACTCCCTTCCTCCCTCCCTCCCACTCCCTCTATCCCTCCTTCGTCCCCCCTCTTTCATGTGCATGGAGCAGATCCGTCTGCAGCCTCAGGCAAGTGCAGTTAACAAATGTACAGAGCTCATGTGAAGCCTCATTTGCATAAATCTGTAGATGTCGCTACATTCCCATAAATGGATTCCTTTGTCTCTAATTGG